TGGAACCAAGCATGCCTTGAAATAAACCCCAAAATACTTTTGGAGATGTGAAGATTTGAACCCATGCATCGATGGTTAGAAAGGTCATAGTCTCACTTTACCACTAAGTTACTTTAAGTTATTTTATCATTTGTTTTCATTTTAATATTTGAATGTGTACAATAAGTAATGTAAAATCTAATACTTACAAAATTTAAATTTAAATTATAAGTTTTGAACCATATAATAGTAATCTACACATTAAGTTATTGAATGTAATCAATAAAAGATAATATAAGTTTTAAACTTATATTATATTTATTGAAAATCAAGTTTTTAAGAACATGCTTCTTATTATTTTTTTTTTCTTTGAAGGGGGGATTAAAGAAAGAATAAGTTCCACGGGTAGACCCTAGAACCACCCCCAGAGCCACCAAGGCCAGAACCGACCTTTGCAAGGTAGGTTCTGGTTCCAAAAACTTGGAACCAACCCCTACAAGGAAGGTAGGTTCCAAGTTCCGCCATGGAAYCGAATCCAATCGACCCATGCTTGCCCCTAAGTGATACCCATCTCCAATATGGGTAAATAACTTTTCTACATGGGGGGGAGGGGGGGAGTTTCTAACACTTAAATGAGACAAAAATGCCTCTTTTAATAATGGAATTTTATGGCYAACACAGTCATTACATTATTTACTTAAGAAATAAAAGAACATGGATAAATGCATTTACCCACGGATATGTAATTTACCAAAACGTGAATGGGGCCTAATTGTCATAACCTATAATGTTGTTGGTGTAATAACTACAAATAAGTAAATCTAAACCCTAGTCATTAGATTGAAAGATGATAAACCTACCCTGATGTTTTAGTTGCTTGTCACAGTTATATATATGTATTCAGGATCTTAGCTTTTACATTTTCTCTCCTTAGATGATATTTGTTAACTAATAATTATTAAAATTTATGCACCTATAAATATTAACCCAAATTATATTGATTTTCTGAGAATTGAGAAATACTCAGCMTACATGCATTTTTCACTTCTTCCATCATTTTGCAACAATTATTAAGTCAGTCCCCATATTTCACACTTCACATTATCACATAAAACTAATAAAGTATGCATATCTTGTGTAATAGCTTATTTATAGTAATCTAAAATTCATATTTAGCGCTATTTAGGATTAATTTGAATTTTCATGTCGCATGCATTCATGTGTATCTTAATGTTTCTACTGTATTCATATGTAACCAATACATATTATAATACATCTCTTAAAACTATTTTTTCAATAATCAATACTCTTTGGTTTTGCAATACCTTGAAACTTCATCTGCAAAATCAAATTTTATAATCTGATTTTTTTTTTTTTTACTTTTCTTTTCTATAATAAGAATAACTCTATGAATCCAAGAAACTAATGCCACGAACCAGGAGAGAGAGCTGAGGAAGACTCTGAAGGGGGACCTCAAAGCGGAGAAGGCCCTTACCACCAAGCTGAAAGAGGCCTTAAAGAAGATGTCCTAACAAGTAGTAAGGGCAAAGTCTAGAAGGGCAAATCTGACTTTTTAATTATGTAGAAAGATGTTCTAACTAGTAGCAAGGGCATTTTTTCAAGTCTCCATTACTTGAACAATGACCTACTATAGGTTTCTTCAAAACTACAGGGACAGGGAGGTTTTTATTAAATTGAAACCTTACGAGAGGTTTTTGTGATTTTCAACAACCTCAGGGAGGTTTTTATATTTTACCCTTATTTTTAAGAAATTATATGATACATCTGCATTGACATTGCCTATCTTGACAAGAAAGAAGAGAACAGATCTCTTACCCACAAAATCTTCCCAGATCCCTGCCCACAAGGACACTATTGGAAATATGAACATCTCTATTGTCATTTATGTGGAGATGTTTCCAATACACTGAAGTGTTTTGCGAAAAGTTTGTGGGTGAGGGATCCTAGTATACCATCTGATTGGTTTTCCCTTTTTTTCTTGATACCCATTGGTCGGTTGTAAAATTTTCTGATGTAATGTCTTTTTGGTATCATTAATACAATCTATACTAATATAAAAGGGATATTTGCACATGTGCATAGCATGCACCCTTATGCTATTAGCGTTTAAAATGCTGGTTGTTTTTGTGAACTAGATGAAATATAAATACAATTAGCGAAGCTAAGACCTCTAGAAGGTAGTACTGTAAGAGAGGAGAGGAAAAAAGAGGGAATAAGGAAGATAGAGAAGAGAGAGAAAGGAGTGAAAATTAAAAGAAGAAATAAAGACAAGAGAGAGAAAATAAAAATTGAGATGATGGTGATATACATAACTTCTTTCATGTAATTCATCATCATTGTCCTCCTCCTCCTCCTCATCTATGTCATATTATGGATCAGCTACATGAATCCTGTTTCCTTAATCCATTCTGTTTAATGCTATATTTATTTTGTTAAATTATTAATGCTTAAAACAATTCTTATTATTTCCATTTTTGTCCTTTTTGGTCAAACCCTTATCATACACCCTTCAACTTTAACTTCTTCTATGTAATTATTGACCCAAATGACTGTAACCCAACCATTTTATTTGATCCAATGGGTTAGTAAACCTATATTCAAGCCGAATCTTAAATGGATGTTGGGTGGGTTGCAGGCGGATGGGTTAGATGGGTCAACCCTTTCAGGCGGGTTGGATCTGAAATTCCCTCTTTTCCTTGCACGTGTGTTATCCTCTAGATGGTAATAATAGAGTCTCAGTCATGGTTCAAAAAATCGACACGTAACGGCCCAGGGGGTGTATCRGTTCAGGGGTGGAGGAACTTAAACCGCCCCCTGAAGCGGATTTAAAAAAATTAAAAAAAAAGAAAAATACCAATACTGCCCGGTACACCCTTATCGGCGTATTGGATATATTGATATTTAGAACCTTGGTCTCAGCTCATGAAATCTCAAATCAGTTGGACTTTCAGAGTTCGGAGCTGAATTAGCTTACTTAGGTCGATAGGGTGGGACTAATTTGGAAGGGTTATAGGGCTTCAACCTTTAATTGCATTTTAGAAAGCCATAAAAATCTTCTGCCAACAAAACAAGTTCCAACCCTYTACTAATTTCATCTGAAACAACACATCTCACCGATTGGGATCCACCATTTATGAGATGTCCGGCGTAAGGCAGGTGATCTGGACTCCCATTGATATCCTTACAATGAACTTACGTTTATATTGATAAATTCTATTATTCTAATAAGATAAATTCTATTCTAGTCATCCCCAGCCTAGTTCATCACGCCCATGCTAGTACTCCCCCCAACTCATCGCTTGCATTACGGGAAGTAATGAAAATCGAAGTTTGGGAATTGGGAAGTTAAAACGCGAAACCAACAATGTTCAATAAAATGAATTGCAGAGTACACCCTCAAAAGACGTAGGATCATTTAAAAAAAAAAAATGTATGGGAATTAGATTTTGTCCTCACAAAATCTAAACTCGCACTGTCCTCATAGCCATTACAGCCGTGCATTGAAAATATCTCCCCATGAATAAAATCATACAAGTACAGAGATATTTCCACCAAGATTTTTAAAAATGAACTGGAAGCAGAACCGTTCAAGGGACCGGTTTCCGGTTAAACAGCTCAACCGTTTGGGTCGAATGGTTCGATCCGTGATGTCATAAATAAATTAAAAACAAAAAATATATTTATAAATAATAAAAATAGCATCAAATTAAATAAAAACAKAAAAAAATACAGAATTAATGACTTTTGGGGAGATTGACGAGTTCAAACTTTTTAAGGAATTGATGACTTCAGTTGATGATTCTTAACAAGGCCAGAGGAGCAATGTCGTTTTCATTTTTTTTTTTTTACCTAGGGTTAATTTCTAGAATGAGGAGATTGACAAGTTCAAAATTTTTGGGGGAATTGATGACTTCAGTTGAAGATTCTTAACAAGGCAAGAGGAGCAATGCCGTTTTCCTTTTCATTTTACCTAGGGTGAATTTGTAGAATGAGGAGATTGACAAGTTCAAACTTTTTGGGGAATTGATGACTTCAATTGGTGATTCTTAACAAGGCCAGAGGAGTAATGCCATTTTCCTTTTCTTTTTTACCTAGCGTGAATTTCTAGAATGAGGAGATGAGATCCTGATATGATTCTCGTAAAACATTTTATGTATATATGTCAAGTTGAAGAGAAATAGGCTTCATTTTCTATTATCTTTATCTATCAATTGTAAGAAAAATAGGCTTCGGGTCCTTCACCGGTTCACTACCGCTAATGGTGGTGTGACGGTGGGCTCGCTGCCGATGGGCTCAGGCTTGGTCGCATGTGATTGCCACTGCAAGTGCTCCTGCAAACCTGCAACTGTTACTGCCGCTAGAAGGTAGAAACCCCTACAAAATCGCCTGTCGCTGCAAAATCACCGACCGCTGCTATAAATCGAACGTCGGACCTGTTACTACGCAACTGTTATTGCTGGATGGCTGGACCTACTGCAAAATCAACGCTGCCACCGTAGATGAATTTCACTGCCGTCGCTAGTCGCCATGAAGCGTCGTCGATCGCTGTGTATCGCCGTCGGATGTCGTAGGTGTGGCCACCGCAAGTGGTCGGTTGGGTGTGAAGGCTGAGAGGAGGGAAGGGTTAGAACAAAAATGGGGTCGTTCTAACCCTAAGCATGTAAGATTTGGGGTCGGGGATATGGAAGTCATTTAATTTTTTGTTTTTTTTTTTATTTTATTAAATCAGCAAAAATAAAAAATTATAACCCGCGAACCGCTGTCCGGGTCGAACGGTTTAGCGATTTGACTGCCCGGGTCAGCAGTTTTCTAACTTTTTCAATGCTTCTAAGGAATTTCCGGTTTATAGTATAACCGGACCCGGAGGACTGACCGGTTACCGGTTTTGAAAACCATGGTTTCCAATGCATGGTTGCAACTTGCAAAGGCTGTGAGGACAAAATCTGCACATGACATTCCATTTTACAAAGATCAAAGCCAATCTCTAACATAACACGCAATTCATAGGGAAAAACATGGCATTCCATTTCAAATAATCTTTGTTTTTGGTACTACATTTGAAATAGTCTGAACAATACAGAAATGTGGAAGGCGTACGAGAATTAAAAAAAATCTAAAGGTTGGGGATCAATTTATTTGCAATACATTGTATCTTTTGTCAACTGGGATAAGAGCAACTGTCAAAATGAAAAAAGGTAACCGCCCCCCCCCCAAAAAAAAAAAAAAAAGAAAGAAAGATAAAGATAATAAAGAGACACATCAACACTGAAAGAACTCAAAAGGCACATAGATGCAGAGTTACAATTGTTTGTATGGCTACAACCAGCCTCTTCTAGGTTAAGGCTTGGTCTTGCAATCCCCATTTGGCAATGTTGTATGCTCAAGAAGGGTAAGAATCTCCCAGATCATCAGCTTGTTGCAAATGGGCATTCATTTGCTATAACATCATCCCTCTTCTGCTWCCTAAGGTAATGTAGTTTACAACCACAAGCATCTGATGGATATGACATCATTAAATAGCTATTGGGAGACTCTTCTGGCTTCCGATGTTATGTGGTTTAATCTCCCATGATGCAACCTCCTGTGCCTCCTCGGGAAGAATGAAAGGTAAGGAGATCTCCCGGACCATTAGGTCACCACAAAATGGGCATTCACTGGCTATGGCATCATCCAACTGTGAGCGGATCTATTCATCAACCAAACAAGTGTGTTAACTCAATTGTCTGATTACAGTTTCATAAATACACATGATGCATAAATTAGCATGTCTAGTCACCATTCAGCAATGTAATTGGAGACAACTAAGCCCAAACCTTATCTGCTGGGGTCATGCTGCCAATAGATTCCTCTTCTGTAATACTGCCATTTGAAGCTTTAGTAGTAGCTTCACTACCTAGTAAACTTAGCTTCTTCTGCAAATCCAATATATATTCTGCCTGCAAAAAACATTAATGGCTGGAGTAAGATCAATTAATCTTACTCCTGAAAATATGTTGAGAAAACATGAATTTGGAACTGTCACTAAATAATGCTCTGATCATCATGAGATAAGCCAGAGTTCAGCCAAACAGATAGCAAACCATGCCAAGACTAGTGTTCAATTTAGATGATGCAAGTAAGACAGTCCAACAAAGGATTAGCACTGCAAATATGCAACCTTTGGAATATTGTTTTCACACTGTCATACGTGAATGCACTTGTCTGTGACAAAAACAGATTTTTTAATGAATTACTTTCATATCACTTTTCAAACAAAAAAAAAAAAAAAACATAATATCACTTCAGTTATGATTAAACAATTTATTATTAAATCATAACTACAATAAATGATTATGCTGGCGGTTTCTAGATGAAAGGGCTATTGCCCAATGTTGATCCTTGGGAGGGGTGGTCTGGATATGGACCAAACTTCCAGCATCTTGCCTCTTTAGACCCAAACCAGTGCTTTCATGCTTGTCAGCCCAAGCTTTCACCATTGCACCAAGCAATGGCTGCTGATTTCTAGATGAAGGCTCAAGAAATTTTGTAAGTTCAAGCATATCTTGATTAGCACATGTACTTGAAGTTACTGGGGCCTTTGTTATTACAAGGATAAAGACAAGATTTTCTTTCCACACAAAGGAAAACAATGACTATTTTGATGTTTTATTTCCACCTTTTTCTGAAACCTAGTGACCACCACTACGAGTTACTATGAAAAATAGAATTAATATCTGTAATAGTAATATAGAATTATAGGTCCTTGTGTCTTAGAAATTATAACTTTCTATACTCTATTTTTTCACATATTGATTAAACCACCCTTAGCTGTTAAGTACTCAGAATAAAAATATCAATGCACAGGACTCCCATAGGATACAGGATCAACAAGTTATCCTGTTGCTTTAACCTCAACGTGGTCAACTGAAAGACTTGATATTAAATTAAAACACCTAGAGGTAAAAATGCCCAACCAAAGCAACCTAGGGCTAATCAAGATAGTCTAGTAAAAGTGTAATAGCAAAAAACTGATATTTTCCTTAAAATTTACCAGAGGCCTTAAATTATATTCTGCTATTAGAAAATATCACATAGACGTGAATCATTAAATTAATTAGGGAATTTGTCAAGAGTTGGAAATCAAGATAGTAAAAGTGTAATAGCAAAAAACTGATATTTTCCTTAAAATTTACCAGAGGTCTATATTATATTCTGCTATCAGAAAATATCACATAGACGTGAATCATTAAATTAATTAGGGAATTTGTCAAGAGTTGGAAACACTTTTTTTCTTTGATCATTAATAATAACTAAAATTGATATCATCATCATTTGCTTTACCCCATCTATGTGGATTTGGAAGCCTGAATCCAATTCCTCTATTTTTCTCTAGGTCAATGCAATTTTCTATTAAAGAAAGAACAAAGAATCTATTCATTCATTCATCATCATCATATGGGTTGGCTACATGAATCCCATTTCACCAWTCTGTTCTGTTAGTGCCATATACATTATTAAGTTATGAACACTTAAATAATTTCTTACTACTTCACCCCATGTTCTTTTTGCTGTCCCTAGTGCCTAGCCCTTCTAGCCCCTTCAACTTGCAACGGATTGTTTCTTCTTACAGATGCTGTAGATGGTCAACTATGCATGTCACCAAACCATCTTAGTCTACTTTCTCTCCTAGGTTCTTTCAAATGAGTCCATTTCTGACCCTACCCTTTCTAGTTTTTCCATCATCCATCTCAGCATACACATTTTTGCCACATTCAAATTTTGGAAATGCTTCTTCTATTGTTTTGTAGAATTTTCATGTCAAGTTCATGTGCAGAGGATTATGCATAAAACAGGCACGCCTTCTTTTTTTGTTCATACATGGATAGATGCACAAAATAAAGAGAGCCTTGCATCAGTTCTACCAAACCAACAAAATCTTGAAGTTTATGTGGGATTGGACATTAAAAAATGTAGAAAGAAAAAGCAATTCAAGAGCAACATAGAAGTGCAACCAGATGGGGTGATCCTTTGAATCAAGGAATGATCAACAATATATCAATGACTCAATGTTAATTATCTGTTGTTAGAATGATATATAGAAAGAAATTGATACAATTCTATTCAAAGAAGAGAAATGAGCCAGGAAATATTGCAGATTTAGAAGGATTTGACTCTTACAAAGTTGATATAAAGGGGGATACTTATTATCTATGTATACAAAATAGAATGGACAATATATTATGTATCAATCCAAAGGTATTTCTTTGGTCCGTAAGAGTAAGCATCAAATAAGCAAATATGTGGAGAAAAGAGTATGTTGATAAGAATGACATCGATGAATCCATTGCAAGACATGAAAACATGAAAAGATGGTAGGGAATGGAATTGGAGATCATTGTCATCTGAATACCAGTGCCAATGTTTAAAAAAAAAAAAAAAACCAACAGGATGATATGCATGATCACAAATAGCTTACTTGAGTAACATTGGTACAACTTGTAACATGGGCTATCAGTCACTGTGCATGGGAAGCATGACCGCAGGGAAAGACATAGAAAGGAGCCATTGGTCCCACTGATGTATAACCCCTTACCACCCGATGTGCTCCTCCAACAGTTAAAATTTTCCGCCTGCAAACCTGATAACCCACAGAGAGAAAAAAAATGCTAAGTCTAGACAAGGATTTAACAAATGCAACTCAATCCATTAATTGCACATAGAGGCTTTACTAGCAAAATTTAAAAGAGAATATACATGAGATGGACTAACAGAACTGCCACTTTCTCCCATTCAAGCCATGAATCAAGTTCAAAACAAGCTGACAGGGAGCCAAATAAACTAAAAAAATGTATATCAGCTCTGTTTGCTCATACCAAAAAACTTGTTGAAGTTTTAAAGGAGACAGGTGGATAGTGGCATTCAAAATGAAATCAAAGCAATTTGAGTCAGGTTTTGAGAGTCTAGTGATATATACCCCACACTCCTCTTCACGATCTATAATGGCATATCTTTGAGTAAGTGCACTAATATCTTTTCTGATATTGTCTGCACCACGTGTTGCATCATTCATTTCTTGTTTCAGTTGTTCAATTTGCTTGTTGTAATCTTCCAATGATGAACAAATTGCTTCCTAAAAAGTATTGAGAGAAAGTTAATTACTAATGGCAGTGGAAGCCAGTCCAGAAGCCCATAATGAACCAAAAAGTAAATAATATCAAAAATTACATCAAAGTGAAGAGAACTGATAATCATCATTTGCACATCAGAGTTAACAAAGGCCCCCTCGAATAAGAAGGAAGTCGTCACCAGTGGGTTGATGTCAGATGTCATTTATAGAAGTTGGGGTATGAGTGCCCAAGTAGAACTCAATCTGACAAAATTATGGGTGTTTAAATCATTTCCTACTACTTAAACCCATGTCCTTTTTGGTCTGCCCCTAGCTGTTCTCAACTTGCAACAGATTGCTTCTTCTTACAAGTGATATAGATGGTCTTCTATGCACGTGACCAAACCATCTTAGTCTACCTTCTATCATATTATCACCTATTGGAGCTACCCCTAGGTTCCTTCAAATGACTTCATTTCTGACCAAATCCTTTCTAGTATTTCTGCTCATCCTTCTCATCATATACATTTCTGCCACACTCATTTTTCAGATATGTTTCTCGACTGCCCAACACTCCATACAGAAAAGCTGGCCTTGCAACTGCTTTATAAAGTTTTCCTCTTAGTATAAGTGGTATTCTCCTATTGCATAAGACTCTAGAAACATTCCTTCATTTTGCCCATCTTTCTCTAATTCTATGGGTGACATCCTCCTCAATCTCTCCCTTGTTATGAATTGTTGAACCCAGGTATTGGAAAAGGTCACATTGAGTTATTTATTGGTCTCCAAACCTAAGTGTACCGTGATTTGCACTCCTATTATCAAATTTACATATTGCATATGCTGTTTTGGTTACAAAGGAATAAATTGACCCTAAACCATATAATGAAGAGAGAGGTCACAAGGTTTTTTATACAAGTTAAACAAATTCACAAAGAAAAAAAAGAAAACAGAAGTGACAAAAAACGTAATAAGTAGTAACACCAAGTATGATGCATTCAATCAGAAATAACATGCATATATCTCTCATATATTACACCAGATGCTTGCCATCAAAACCTAGTTTTTGTAACAAATCTTATATCAAAGTTAAAAACAAGTAACTTTCATAACTATTGGACACTAACATCCTTGCAGAATAACTAAATAAGTTTATGGATATTACCTTAAAATCATCAATAAGAGCAAAGTCTGGAAAGAATGGTAAAATATCCTCTATCTTTAAAAGGCCATCTGTTTCCTTGAGAAATGCTATTGCCTTTCGTATGTTCTCTCTTTTAGCTCCTTTCTCTTGTTCAATTACATGCTTTGCGACCATAAGCCAAAGCTTCTTCCTCAAGTCTTCATCATCTTCAACCTTGTCAGCTTCTGCCATGGCAAGCTCTGTATCAACCTAATCAAAAAGAAGAAATAGTTTCATTTGATAACAGTATATAAAAAAACCCAATGAAAAAGTTTCAAGCACAACTATGTTATATCCTCCAAAACTAGAGCATCATGAATTCAGCTCAAAAGACAAGTGGTAGTCTGGTACATGTTTAATGACAACAATAAGTACAACCCTGAACATGAAATTTAAAACTCACATAATACAAGATAACACAAGTATCTTTACACCAACATAAAACATTTCTGTGACATATAAACAGATAAAGAACATGGTGCAACAGTGGGCAGTCATAGAGAAAGAAATCAATTAGCAGAACAATCAGGTATCTATGGACTAAATAGAGGTATCCTTAGTTTTATATACCAATCAACATGCATATAACTTGAAAATACAGCAAGGCTCTTGACTAACAACATTAATTTCTCTTAATGTATGGAAAATTATCATATCTAAAAGACAATAGCATTTTAAATTGATTAAATTAAACATTTAAAAAATAACACTATAATATAATGTATTTAATAGAGCAATTTCATGTATAATAAAAAACTAAAAGAGGCTATAATTTTATAATAATACAAATTTAAGATATAGAGTAATGAAAAGAAAAAGTGTTCTATTTAATGTAAGAGAGAGAGAGAGTCATCATCTAAGCCTTGTCCCAACTATATGGGGTTGGCTACATGATTTTGTTGCTCTTTCCTTTTCTTTTCTCAAAACCCTTGGATTTTTTATATTTTAATTAATAGTAAAACCTTAAAACAAAGCATAGGTAATGTGTGTTGTTCTTGTTGCCTAGGCAATGCCTTGACAGCTAATAGATGAGGCTAGAGTAATAATGCTATAAAAACACACCAGCCTTGTGATTTTTGTTGCCTAGGCAATGACTCAACAACTGTGGTTTTTTCTTCACTAGTGGAAGGGCAAGTTCTGTACTCGTTGCAAGTAAAAACAAAAAGGGTAAAATGATGAAAAGACATTTAGGTTTTGAAAGATTTTTTACTATACTTTGTATGCTTTAACTAAATGATTATATTTAAAGATTAAAATATTCAGAAAACTGCTATTTGCAGCATTAACATTATCACATTGTGTAATGCTATTGAAGTATTCTGATTTAATTATGGCCTGGACATGAAGCCAAGAAAAAGTATTATTGGCATTATATAGTAAAGATGGTTGCCTACGGAACAGAATGCTGTTGATGTCAGCATGCTGTCATATCATATTATAGCAGGTTATAATGACAGCAGGAATCCTCATTGATGCTTTTAGTTAAATAATCAAGGGGCTTTTGGATCTATTTTGACATTGTTTTTTGAATTACTTTATGAGAAAACCAAAGAAAATGCAGATCTAGGTATTTTGCCATGTCAGATTGCTTGCAGAGTTTCTTGCAATTTTGACCAGCAACTTTTTATTTGTATGGCTTTTCTAATGATTGCATAAGTGGTCTTGATTATTTTTATGTAGTATTAAATGTTTGGTGAACTTTTCTTTATCCTTATATTTCCAGCAACCTGATTTTCCATGTTTTGGTTACATTTTTGGTGTAAAATCTGCATGGATAAGTCCCTAGGCCTAGTGCATCAATCTATGTAGTCTTACACTTTGTTCTTGGGGGTGGTTGCGATCTTGGAGTGACATGAAAAGGTCAAAACATCCATTAAAATTGTTGGAGTCTGTCCAGAAAGGGATAGCATAGTTTGTTGTGCAGTTAAAGTTGAATGGAGTATAATTTCTAGAATGGTCCCAATTGGCCAAACTCTATATTGTAGAGGCAAGTTGGGCCATCATACAGGCAGGGGCCAGGTTAATGGAGCTGCAGATTAGTATAAATTAACATGTGTTGCTGATTGTTGAAAAAATTTGGGATAGAGTGATAGACACTTATTCCCAGGTATAAGACAAATCACAGATATACCAATTGATGAGAGAGGTCAGAATTCTTTATTASGGGAAGTCTCTCTCTATGCATTTTTCCTTGCATGTATTCATCATCATCACCATGGCAAGGCTTCTGGGTAAAGTCTCAGATATGAAATCTACACCAACAGTTGAGGTATCTGACATGATACAACACCCTTGTACATGAATTCTGTTCTACCATGCCATTCTGTTCAGTGTCATATCCATTGTTAAATTATGTATTGTAAGAAGAAACTAATCGTTATGAGGTGGAAAGGACCCAAATGATGCAAATCAGTACAAGAAGCTGATAAAAAATAGTCGTGTTTTTAAATTCTTGGTAGGTCTTAATTCAGAGTTCAAAATCACTAAGCAATAGATTCTCAATTGGGGTGTTTTGCCTTTTGCTCAGGTGTATGTCTTGGTTCAGGGGGAGGATGGCATGAAGATAGCATGCTTCATAGTTCTTCCTTGAACCACTTAGCCATGGCCTCCATGAAGCAGAAATCGATTATATGGAACTTTGCTCCTAGTGGTGACCAATAGGTGAAATGTGATTATTGTGAAAAGCCAAGGAACAAAGGGGAGAAGCCTTGTAAATTATATCCTCATTTGAAGCCTGCATTACAGAAGAATCAGAAGAGTAATGTCAATGTTGTAGCCACTTCATGTAAGGTTCAGACTTTTAAGGTACCTATTTCTCCTATAGCTCCACCTACCTCAAAGATTTCATTGGCTGCTAAGGATGAGATGAAGCACCTCGCTCACCTCCTCAAAGAACAATACAGCTTCCCATACTTCCTCTTCTTCTTCTTCTTCCTTAGCTTAGGTATATTTGTCACTGCTAACCTTGCTTCTACATCATCCTCTTGCTCATTTTTGCTTATTGATTTAGGAGTATCTAACCATATGATTAGTATACCATCCTTCTTTCGTTAAGTTGCATTCTGCTAGAGACAAGGTAACCACCACTGATGGTGATGGATCTCTTGAATCTATTTCAAAGAAGGAAGAAATAGGAATTGGTCATCACTTATCTCTGCCATTTTTGCTGCATGTTCCCTAAGCTTAGTAACAAGTTACAGTCTATCAATAGTTTTACCAAGAACCTAATTCCCGTATGACCTTTTTTCTTGATCATTCTGCTTTCCAGGACTTTAATAAGGAGAATAATTGAAAATGGATGACGCATATGGAATCTACTTGCTATACACCTTTTCTAGAATGTCAATGGCTTCTTAGTCTAGTAGTTCTATTAGTTCGTCTACTTGTAGTGAGTCTCAATTATACTATGGCTAATGGCACAAGGAGACATTTCTCAAATTAAGTGGCTACATACAAGATATGGCTACAAATGGATTGAATATTAATCCGATCTGATTTGAATTAGGATATATCCTCTATTTGATCCATTATGATCTGATCTGATTCGATTATAATTATAGTATATTTATAAAAATATTTAGTAGATTGTAGATAGACAGATATGCCCTTTAGAAAACATATCTCGACTTTTAGAGGAATTTTGCAAAAGATGTCTAAATCCTAATACCCTTAACCTCACACCCATTAAAATTGATGAACGAATGAAAACCCTGAAAGGATATGGATAAAACACTTCTTCTCAATGCTGCTCTACTGAGTGCTGAACTAGTTTGCCATCTGTAGACTGCTGTAGCTCACTAGCTTGCAGCTTGCCGTTGCTAGTCGGTATAGACCACCAGTTAGTTGCCATTGACCACCAGTCCAGTTGAGGGAAACAGTTATGATCGAATCAGGGTGTGTTGGTACTTTGGTTACTCTACCTGCTTGCCACCGCTGCTTGCCACCCGCCACCAGTCTATTCTGAGAAAATATTAGAGAATAGAGAAGAGGTCTGAGTCTCTGATGTCACTGCTGGACTGCTGCTGCTATATCCTTTGTCCCACTTCCACAGCTTCTTTTGGCTACCACTACTAGCAGCCCTCCTACTAGCCATTGCCAGTTGAGATTCTCATTCTCAGACCAAGTTGTTTGTGCCAAAAAGAGGTCAGTAACTTGATTCTCTTGAGCAGAGCCACTTCTATTTGACTATGAACTTCGTAATAATCTGAAAATAATAGAAAAATACAGATAGACTTCCGCATTCTGCCCCCACTAAAATCCTAACCTCATCCCTCAGTCTCATCCCCTGTTAAAGGTCAGTAACTAGATTCTCATACTGGAAATCATTGTCTCTCTATTTAGCATATACATTTTACATGCTTTAACTGAAGAACCAGAGAATTAAAAACACGAGTTTCTCTTGTAATCTCTTCTTCAGTATCAAAAACATGAATTTCTCCTCAACTCTCTCTTGAATCAGATATCTGATATTTTGATAATTGAATCAAATCAGTTTTGAATTGGATATCCAGCTATTTAATTGAATTGAATTTGAATATATAGTTTCTTAGATCCTTCAAATCAAACTCATACATCCTATTCTTCTTATCAAACTGAATTTGGATATACCCCTATTTGAATTTGATTCAATCTGTTTGCAGCCTAATATAAGAATACAAAAACCAAATGATGGACATAAGTTTCAATGTGAAATTATCCAAGCTAAGATGAAGGATGCAATTAAAATCTTATCAGTGTGAGCTTGTCTTAAATTGCTGGTCCCAAGCCTGGATAAAGGAGGAGGGTTGGGTCAGGTTGGCAGATGGAATGAATTTAAAATATTTGCCAAACTCTTATGAACATGGATACCGAATTACTTAGTAGTGGATACAGCACCAAATAGGCCAGAATGGAGTAACAGGATTCATGTAGTGGGCTCAATATAGTTGGGATACAGCTTAGCTGAGTTGAGAAGTTGAAGGCAAATCTTACGAAACAATTTGCTTTGTAATTAAAATGAATAGTGAAATGGCATTCTCAACACAACCATTAATGAAGGCAACAGTAGAAACAATAAAAACAGTAACGGAATAACAGAAGTAACACAAAACACCAATAAAAAGGTAATTATTACCTGAAGAGCAAGAGCAACAGCCTCTTCATGCATGGACATCATGCTGTATATATGGACACAAGCACGCATCCTCTTTTCCTTGAGACAAAGGCGCAACGCATACTTGGGATCATAAAAGAATTCAGGACCATTTTCTCGCCCTTTTCCAAACTTGCATTGTAGGAAGCGAAGAAGTGCACTATCATCCTCCTGTTATAATTTTACAGGACAAGTACTAAGACCTTTATATAATCTGCAACTTTAATGGGCATGGATTGGTAAATAGGGGCCAATAGACCCTTGTACAAAGTGAAGGCATTCCTGGGTTTTCTTGTTGCAACAGAAAATTGGCTACTCAAAATCAGATTCATTAATAAAACAACTTGCACATTGTTGACATTAAAATAGAAACAGAGACTAAAATATAAAGAAGAAATGTAATTAGAAACTACACTCCAAAATAACACAAAAGAAGAGAGAAAAGTGGTGGAACACAATCATCCAAAGCAAGCAATACTAGTAAAATAAAAAACCGTAAAGAAAAGCAAATACAGACCGATCAAAGAGAAAAAAGATAAACAAGTACAAACAAATTAAAGAGAAACAAAAAGGTAACCTTCCAAATATACAAGGTTCAGAAGAACTAGCAATTTGTGGTGCTAAAATGCTATAAACACAAGTTTCCACTCCTCGCTACAATAAGATTAACCTACCCACTTCCCAATGACCAACATTTACTGGTTTATAGATGAACCAAGATAAGAAGTTCTTGCTGGCAGCGTCAGCTTTAGATTAAATACTAGGGTGACCATACATAATAAAAGAAGAGGTGTAAGTACCATAGTGAGGCTAGGTAGGGCGGTCTCCTTGAAGGATGAAGAATGATCAAAGCTTGGTTAAGGTTGCAAGATTGGCTGTTTGGGAAACTCAACAGAGTCAGGTAGCAATGAGAGTGATAATCACGTCTTGGGTTTGTACTTCATCCTCCCTTTTATAGGGATGACCCTAAGACCTTAAGGAGAAGGATCCAAAAAAAGGTTGATTCTTATTAGAAAAGGGAATCCTCATCTTTATGTCCGCTATCGAGGGAGCACTACTAGGGTTTTGTCATGTGTTTAATGAGATCTTTTGAGGACAAAGTTTCCTTTCGTTTGAGGATTCTCTTTTAGCACGTGTATGCTACTTCCTGTCATAGGTTTCTTGAGGTCACGTGTCATGGACGGGGCCCAAGTTTGGCTGCCACGTCTGGTTGTTTGTCGTATCGTCTTCAGGAAGCTTCGTCATAGCCATCACAAGTATTAGGTGACACTGTTCTCACCGCAGGTCCAAGGTAGCTCTTCGAGTTCATCACAGATTAGAGATGGCTCTTTAAGCTCATCACAAGCTTGGGACAACTCTTTGAGCTCATTGCATGCTTGGGGGAACTTCTTGGGCTCATCACAAGTTTTGGATGGCTCTTCGTATTGTTATAGATGTGTACATGGTTTTGTTTTGACACCTTTATCATGATTTTGGCGATGGAGAACTACATGTGATTACAAGAGGAAAAGACAAAAGAGCCCCTCTATGGCATATATTACAGATTACATCACTCCCCCTCAAGTTGAGGCGTAGATGTCAATCATCACCAACTTGTCACAAAGATCATAATGCCGCAGTGAACATAATCCCTTAGTAAAAACATCTGCAAGTTGTTCTTTGGAGCTAATGTAGGGAGTGCACACTTGCCCTTCCCAATTTTCTCTTTGATGAAATGCTTGTCAACTTCAATATGCTTGGTTCTATTATGGAAAACTGGGTTGGCTGCAATGTTGATAGCAGCTTTGTTGTCAGTAGAGTGACATAGGATCATCAAAAGAAAATCCTAATTCACTCAATAGGTTCTTGATCGATAGTAACTCCACAATTCCATGTGACAAAGCCTTGTATTCTGCCTTTGCACTTGACCTGGCAACCACACTTTGTTTCTTGCTTCTCCAAGTCACAAGGTTTCCACCTACAAAAGCACAATAGCCGCTAGTGGATTTTCTGTCATCCACTAAGCCGGCCCAATCAGCACCTATGTACACCTCTACCCTCATGTGTCCATGTTTCTTAAAGAGTAAACCTGTCCCTGGAAATTTCTTCAAGTACCTAAGAACTCTATTTGCTGCCTCTAGGTGCGCCTCCTTGGGTGCATGCATGAACTAAGGTCACCCATAGTATATGCGATGTCAGACCTAGTCATGGATAGATAGAGAAGTCTGCCCACAAGTCGTTAGTATTGCCTTGGATCTTTCAAGAGCTTACCGCTACAGTCCCCAAGTTTATGATTTACATCCATAGGTTTAGACCCTAGCTTCCCTGTATCCTTCAGGATATCTAGGGTGTACTTCCTTTGGGAAATGAATATGCCTTGTTGAGAGCAGGCAACTTCAATTCAAAGGAAGTAGCACAAATGCCCTAGATCCTTTACTCCAAACTGTGTAGCCAGAAATTTTCTTTAATCTCAGAATCTCTGAGACCTAGTCTCCAGTGATGACAATATCATCTAGATAGACAATCAAGGATGTTGTTTTTTCTCGTTCCCTCTTTGCAAAGAGTGTGTGATCAGCTTGGCACCGCTTAAAACCCATCTGTTGAACTGCCTGGTGAAACCTACTAAACCAAGCTCTTGGAGACTGCTTTAGAACATACAAAGATTTCTTCAATTTGCAACTTTCTGTTCACTGCCCTTAGCACAAAAACCAGGGGGTTGAGTCATATATACTTCCTCTTCCAAATCACCATTCAGGAAGGTATTATTTATATCAAGTTGATGAAGCTCCCAATCAAGACTTGTTGCTAAAGATAGAAGAACCCGAATAGAGTTCATTTTTGCAACGAAAGCAAAGGTCTTAGCGTAATCAACTCCATGAACCTATTGAAGTCCTTCGCAACTAACTGAGCCTTGTACCTTTCCACAGAACCATCTTCCTTATGTTTTATAGAAAACACCCATTTGCACCCTACAGGCTCCTTTCCCTTAGGAATATTTACCAACTCCCATGTGCCATTCTTGTGTAGAGCATTGATCTCTTCCTTCATTGCATCTTTCCTCTTAGGAACAAGTAAGGCCTCCACAAAACTCTTGGGAAGGGGAACACTATCAATGGCAGATAGAAAAGCATGAAAAGAAGATGAGACATTCTCATAGGACAAGAAGTGAGACATGGGGTGGTGTGTGGTGCATGATCTGACACCCTTCCTTTTTGCAATAGGGAGGTTCAAATCACAACTTGAAGTGTCAATATCTATAGGTTCAGGAACATCAACTAGAACAATAGTACCTAGGTGAGGTGAAGGACCCTGATGGCATTGGTGGCATAGTTTCTGGCAACTCTATGGCAACTGAACTCTGTTGGCCTTGATTTTTGTAGCACAATCTCCGAAAGACACAAAATGGAGGAGAATCAGGAATAGAAGGCAATAAAACTTGAGTTTGACTCTGCTTCTCCTCAACTATACTCTCCCCCCCTAAGGAAAAATAGGGAAATAGGGAACATCTTCAAAGAAAGAAACATACATAAAGACAAAATATTTTTTAGACACAGGGTCAAAGCAATGATAGCCTTTCTGAGAAAGGAGATAACCATGAAAAATACACACAATAGCTTTGGGATCAAGCTTACCATGGGTAGGAGATAGATCATGAACAAAACACTTACATCAAAGAAATGCATAGGTATAGGAAACATTGGTGCTTTAGGGAAGAGGAGCTGATGAGGGAACCTATATTCCAATACCCAAGATGGTGTCTTATTGATGACATAGGCAACAATCAGGTCAACATCCACCCATAATCATTTTTGGACATTCATTTGTAACATCAATCCTAGAGAAACTTCAAGGAGATGTCGATTTTTTCTCTCTACAATCCCATTTTGCTGAGGGGTTCTGGCACATGAGCTCTTGCGATGAGAGCCCCATGATGCAAAGAAAGTCACTAACATGAGCTCTGGCACATGAGCTTCTACAATGTTTACTCAGTTGGCACACTTGACACCGAAAGCCACTAACAGACAAAGACTTAAACAAATTTGGAAACAAATACTTCAAAGACTCAAATGACATATGTCCCAAACGGTGGTGCGACAAAATAACTCGGCTCTTATTTAACAAACTCAAAGACTCTGAAACTGTAAGACCAACTTTGCTCTCCAGCACATAGAGACCATCCACCATGTTCCATTTACCAATCGTCCTCCCAGAGGCCAAATCCTGAAAATCACAAGAATGTGGAAGAAAGGTTACTGAGCAATTCAAGGCATGAGTAATACTACAAATGGAGAACAAGTTAATGGGTAACTTTGGAACATGTAGAACATTAGATAAGGAGAGGCAATAAGGCAAAGATATAGATCCTTGACCAGCAATGGAGGAGAAGGATCCATCAGCTAACCTCACTTTATCTCTGCCAGAGAGAAGAGAGTATGTTTGGAACAAGATTGACTTACCAATCATGTGGTTGGATACACCGAAATCGATAATCCATGGGGATTCTGGTAGACACATGGAAAGCTAAGGCAGAATTACCTGAAGAAGAGGCAAATGAAGTAGAAGGTGTGGGTCCAAAATCAGCATTATGGAGAGCCCTACCATACTGCTCTAAGTGGTCATGGAAGGAATTGATAATATCTTCCTTAGAGCCAGAATAAGGGGGGCAATCCTGAGAAGTGCTTTGATGCTTATGAAATGCTAAGTTTGCTAAAGTGAACTTCTGGTATGGCTTCTTGCTCGGTTCTTGTGCTGATTTCTTACCCACTTCTTGTGCCCACTTTGACAGGTGTGCCAAGATTTTCGGCAACGAGTACACTACAGTTTGTCTTTATCACCTATCTTTTTCTTACTTTCCCCTTTCCTTGGTGCCCTAGTGTTACCCCTAACATCTAGAGCAATAGTCTCCTCCTTAGGAGGATTCATGGCAGACTTCCTACTCTCTTCAGACTGAACAAGTGCATATACCTATTGGACAGACAGAAGATCCTTGCTGCCCAAAATCTGAACACAAATAGGTTCATACATGGGATTCAAACCCAGAAGGAAAGTAAACACCCGTTGCTATAAGACTAGTTGTTTATAGGCCTTGGCATCCTTTTCACTTTCCCGATCAATGCTCTGATAATAGTCTAATTCTTTCCAAACTGAAGTGAGGACAGAATAATAGGTCGATAAGCTCCTTTCTCCCTGCT